CAGTATTTTTGAGACATTACAAATTCCACTTCATCCAAGAGCATGTTGAAAACGAGCAAGTGACAGTTGAACGTGTTTCGGGAGACAAACAACATTCAGATCTACTTACGAAGTCCTTAGCTCGGATAAGGTTCACACAGATGAGAATGTTATATGGCGTGCAAGAATTACCCTCGACTCATAAATTCAGGGGTGATTGTTGGCGAATATCACTGTGTCAGATAAAGTTGTAGGCGTGTTCTGATCCAGTTCATAATTCCTTGGAGTGTTGTCCAAGTTCCAGAGTTTTCCTTGACCCATAAGGAATGCTTTACATGGAAAGTTATTTAGGAATCCTAGATTACTACTAATGAGTTATGTCTAGTATATATATGATACGTTCCTGTATTCATAGATTGAAGTTTTTGGGTTAGTTTTTACTTCAATAAAGGCGTGCGAGTTTATGCAGTAATCTTTGTTTATGTTTCCTGTTTAACACTTTAGGGGTTGCAATGTACAAAAAGAGTTTGTATCACAAGCTACTAAGATAGCTACTAACAGTGTACATAAAAGCATATCATTTGAAGTTATATTTAAGTGAGCTTCTCACTTAACATGTTTGATTATAATGTTATATCATCACATAAAAAAATATATGTTTTGGAGTATTATTTTAGGTAAAAGATTATAACGAATGGATGTCACATGCAAATTGGCTCTGTTCAAGACTTTTGCTATGCTAGAATTTTGTTCCTCAATATTAGAATTTTGTGATCATCAGCTACGACGGTTGTATGTGGTGAAAATGATGGTTGTAACACTTGAAGCTTGGACTGCTAATTAATGTGTCATGTATACCTTGTCGATAGTTGTTAGTTTGTTTTTAGGTGTTAAGTCGGTCACAAAAATCATTTCTTGTTTGATAATTAAATTGATGGCAAAATAACGGAAAAACTTCTACAAAAGCAAACAGGGTAACAAAATGCCAATACAAGTTGTATGTATGTGTAGTACAAAGTTTGATTGGTTCCAGGAATTCTTGTAAAAGAGCAGTTAACCCCATAAACTATGAGTCCAAACATAAGTTTATGTTACTTCACAAAATATAAGGTGAGCCAAAAGGCTTGATGATTCCTTGTAATTTAGCATCTACAACAGACCATATGCTCATTGTCATTTTACAAAAGGAAGTTCTCCAAAGGAATCACTTCCAATTAAACAGCAATATGGTGTCTACAATAGACTTAGAATGGTAGTATCATTAGGTGTAAATCAAATAGTATTTGTAAACATGGATGTTAGTTTGTCAGAGAAAGTATACAAGAATCTAGAGTGAAGAAAAGCAAAAAAAATTCAAAGCTAGTCATAAATTAAAAAGCGTAATTCAAAGTGTATTATGTCTGCTGGCAAATAATTTTATCAGAAAGCAAAATGAGTTACTAAAGTTATACCTCATCCATTGAATGTCAAAGTTAACATTTGAAGTATTTAAAAATCCTAATTTAGTCATTTACATTTAACTTTAACCTCTTATCAATTCAAGTTTAAAATATGTAAACACAGTTAACCAAAATAGCACTTTGATTATTCTGAGAAAATCACTCAAAACTCACGGTGTATACAGTGTCTCTCAATGATCATAACTCGATCTAAAACAATGTATATATAATCCTAGATACCGACTTGTAGAATAAGGAAACTTGCTTTAGACCAACTTGGCATAAACTAGATTGTTTGGTCTCCAAGGTCCTACGTGACTTACGATTCCAACATTTAATACTATTGTTATGTACTTGTATATTTATTTACATATTATTATTATTTTTAAATCATTGCATTCCTATTAAATACACACGGCATAATTAAAACGAATACTTAAATAGCTAAACGAAAATGGGATGTTACAACTCCTCCACTTAAGAGAATTTTGTCCCCAAATCAATCTTTGTATAACTATGGTTCGATCCTAGGTACTCCCTTTCCCGGTTTCACGTACATAGGTCTACTGTTACAGATATATGACTACTGATGAACTTGCTTAATGTAGCTTCATGAAACTTTGAAAGACTCAATCAGGTATTTGGACCATGCTTCAAATCCCTACGCAACAATCAAACAAGAACATGCAAAGGGGATCCTCTTACAGTCCTCAACCCAATTAGAAGCTTTTCTTTGCAGCAAAAAAAGTTTTCTTTAAACTGTTCAAAAATCCTTTAGAACCTCAATCTCAGGACTTTCCACTTCGTCACTGCATCTGACTTGGCTGTGTTCCCATGATACCTTACTGGTTAACAGGTTTCCTAAGAATTGGATTTCCTGATGTCGCACTTTGAAACTTAAACTTTATTTTCTATATCCTTAAGGTTGCTTTTGTTGGGGTAATCTTGATGAGTTGATTATGTTATGTTAATGGGTCACGTGTTAGTACCTTAGCAGATTTACTTGGTAGTTGATTTGGTCATATATTGACTAACTGGAAGGAGAATAACGTGGCTTAGTTCCACTTTCATAGGAATACATGCAGCTGCAAGTTTTTAGCTTTTTTCTGTTTGTTGTTTAGCTATAAATATATCCATCTACGCATGAATGAAAGTGTGCAGTTTTTTTGAGTCTAAATCACTTCCATTCTCCCTAATTGCTTTGTGTATATCTCTATATTTGTGTTGTGTTAGTGAGAAGAGTGGGACCTGATCCAACAGCTTTGTACATATATATTTGTGCTATAAGTATTTGATTTAGACACATATACTTTTATTTGCATAAGGTATTTACTAGAACTGAGAGCAAAATTGATTAATATAAGCTTGTAATTTACGTGGTGATTTTGCTTTAAGTTAATGAATTAGGACGTCCGTAGTTGCTATTATTTAACTTCCGTAAAAAAAAGTTTGCATTTTGTAAGGTGGATTTTATTTATTTTAATCGATAGTATTTAGTAAAATCATAGGCGTTCATAATTTGCATACAACAGCTCTTTTAGTTCAATTTGCATGCCGTGACTTCAAAGTTTATGCTATTTTATTACCGGATCATTACGACATAATCTAGAGATAATTATCAACTCGACAGTTTGGCCGAGTGGTCTAAGGCGCCAGATTTAGGCTCTGGTCCGAAAGGGCGTGGGTTCAAATCCCACAGCTGTCAATTTTTATGCTAAACTTGTGTTTTTAGTGTTCAGTTGTAGGATACTTCTTTTACTTTAGTATTTGTTTACTTGTTCAAAAGATAGTCATTTATATTTGCTCACAATTACTTGTTGTATATCAGTGTATGTTAATTTGGAACATCAAACAAAATGCATAAAATAAATTTATATATTTTGTATTTGAGATAGAATTAGTAATCACACAATGTGTTGATGTATTTCAGTATATGTTGATTTGGAACATCAAACAAAATACATAAAATAAATTTATATATTTTGTATTCGAGGTAGAATTACTAATCACACCAAACAGTATAATACACACAACAAATACAGAATGAAATTGGCATTTTAAAATCATTGAGTAATAAATAACAATTGTAACTCGCAAACCATCAGTCTCAAACTTGAAGCGGGGGGAGGTGCAATGTATATATAGACTTTGTGTAACAAGCTACTAAGAGTATACAAAAAGCATATCATTTTAAGTTATATTTAAGTGAGATTCACACTCTAACATGTTTGATTTATGATGTTATATTATATCTTCATGACGAAAAAATATGTTTTGGAGTATTATTTTAGTTAAAAGATTATAACAAATGGATGTCACATACGACTTTTGCTATGCTATATTTTTGTTTCTCAGGATCAGTTGTGTATCAGTGGATGCTTGATATTGATGGTCTTATCTGACGGGTGCTTGGGTTCTCATCAGCTATAATGGTTAGTGGCGATTTCAGCATTTTCTTTTGTGGGGGGCATTATTGAATTCTTTTAAAAACATAAAGGGCTTTACATATACATTTTAAAATAATTGGAATATTTTTAGCACTACATCCGTCACTGATGATGGTTGTAACTGTCGAAGCTTGGACAGCAAATGTGTCATATACAGCTAGCCCACAGATAGTACAAAGACTAAAGGGTCATATAAACTATGAGTCCAAACATAAGTTTATTTTACATTACAAAATATATGGTGAGACTAAAGGGTTGATGATTCCTTATAATTTAGAATCTACAATTGACCATATGGTCATTGTCATTTTACAAGAGGAAGTTCTCCAGAGGACATCACTCCCAATTACACAGCAATCTGGTGTAAATCAATAACTATTTGTAAATATGGAAGTTCTTTTCTCCAAAGAAAGTATACAAGAATCTAGAGGGGAGTAAAGCAAAAAAATATCAAAGCTCGTCACAAATTAAAAAGCTTAATTCAAAGTGCATTCTGTCTGCTGGCAAATTTAGAGGCATCATCAAAATGATTCATGATTTGAATGTATTCCTAATGTTTCCATCATGACCCTTCCACGTAATAATCCTAATTCCTAATTGCATCCAATCCATCAACAAAAAGAAATGGTAAACTCTTAAATCAGTAAGCATATCCGTGTTATAAACCAAATATTGAGACAGAAAAGAACGTTTGAAAATACGTACTTGTAATTAAGGTTGTACCTAAATAATATATAGGGAAAAATTGTCTGAATGAGTTACTTCATATATTATATATGCATAACTAACTAAAAGATTTCAAAGAAGAGGGGCATGCCTTCATATTTCATTTGGTAAAATTCCGTCTATCCGCAAGCAGGGGATAAGGGAGACGTGGGGCCAATAGATGCCTCCTCTACTAATCTTTTGTTTCAGATTTGGGCATCCAGAGATCAACAATACCAGAAGCGAAGGCAACAACTTTTCTGGTAGATCTGTCGTCTTTGGGCAGTTCTGAATGATGAGACGTTGGAGGGAGGTGAGGTGTTGCACTCCACTTGAAACAGATTCCAGTTTCTCAAATCCGTGTATACCAAAATCAGTAAGGGATGAAGGAAGAAGATGCAAAAATTCACCAAAACTTCTGATGTCGTCATCATATGCATGGTCCGGCATATAATCTTAGGTCAACAAGTGAGGTTGGAAAATTCTGTGGGCCCCACTCGGAGATGGGCTTCTTCAACCCTCCTATACCAAGATAACTCAATTTTGGAGGCCAAAGCCTACGAGGAAAGGATGCATCCGTAGTTGTACAATTTTCTATTTCCAGCTGTCTTAACGAGGTGAGATTGAGCAACTCATGGTCAGGAAATGACTCAATACTTGGACACTCTCTTATTGTCAAACGGACGAGGTTAATGAAGTAACCCAAAGCAGTGATCGATTTCAGATTTGACCAATTATGTATATTGATCTCAGATTCAAGCAACTCCTTTTCCAAAAGTTTCTTGCAATTGGTGATGACAAGTGACCTGAGCTTTTGCACTCCTCCTGTTGGGAAGGAGACCGATGTAATTGAATCACAATTCCTAATATCCAAAGCCTCCATGCTATCTGGACAACTGCAGTGCTCCAAGCTGCATGTTACAATCCGATACTTCCAACCTCCTAAAAGATGTTAGGATGCTCCCACTATTAATATTATCCTCCTCTTTCTCCCCTAAACTCACTAAAAAATTCACATTCTCTTAAATCCAATATTTTTAATTTCGTAAGAACCTTACTTGCATCTGCTTCTGATTCCCACAAGTATCTTATGTGGTTACACCGTTTGATGCTTACGTATCCAACTGCACCAAGATACCCTGTCACACCTCTCCACAGTTCATCGGTAAGTCCTGAAATATCATCTATTTTCAACTTGGTGATTGATGAAGCTACATCAACCAGGCTTTTCAATAAACCATGATCACATTTTATTAGTTTCAAAACCCTTAGTGAAGGTAGTGCTTCATGGGAGACCCGAACCAGATTAGGACAATCTTCAATACGAAGCTCTTGAAGGCAAGGAAACGCCCCACTATTTGTTGACCATTCCTCCCACCCTGACATATTATCAAACCGTAGGATTTTAAGTGAAGGAAATGCAAGGTCGGCCCCAAGTAACTCCAAACCTACAACCTTCACCTTACTCATCCAACCAATAATCAGCTTCCTCAGTGATGGTAGTTGCCCAAGTCGTGGTAAAGATGTACATTCTTCACAGTCACTTATCCACACTTTAGTCAACCGAATAAACGAGGGATCCCCAACCCAATTTGGAAACTCTATACCTCTATATGACACAATTTCAGGCTTTTTCAAAGTATTTTATTATGAGGCTTCAGCTCATTGAGGACCTCTTTTTTTCGTGTGTTTCCGTTCGAAGAGAATTAAACTCAGAACCCCAATTCAACTCTAACTCACTAAACCTCATACGCGATAAGTTTGCCGCACGTGCATCTATTGCATTATGCACATTGTCGAGCCCCACAATACAAACTTTTCCATGGAGACTTTGCAATTTCGTAAGCTCAGTTATTGCTAAGCCAATGTCACTGAAGAGAGTTTGAAGACTTTTCAACTCACCAATCCCTAAGGGCGTCTTCTTCAACCTCCAACTACCCATCATGTCAAAATGCTGCAAATTTTTAAGCTTGGAGAAGCTTTCGGGCAACTTAATCAATTCATGACAGCCAGAAACGATCAGTGTCTGTAGATTATAAAGATTGCAGACATTTTCCGGTAAATGGATAATTTTAGTTCGAGATAGATTAAGATACCGCAAGTGCTTCATACTACCAACGACTTCTGGTACCTCACTTATGCTAAGATCACTCAAACTGAGGACGCTTAACAATGGTAACTCCTGAAGTAAGTCACTCAGGACCTTATTTGATAAGTAAAATATAGCCCAAGTTTCTACTACCCCAACGGACAATGCTAAAAACGTTCTCAAATTTTTAGCTCCTTTGAGTGGCTTGAACCTTTTGTAAACCATGTAATCCTCACAAGCAAATGACATATGGCGGTGCTTCTCCAAAGCTTCCATCCTAAATTCCTTCTTCATCTCTATGTCTAACCTTAAAAAAAATCTCCAGCAACAAATGTAGCCAAGTCATTCATGAGGTCATGCATCACAAGCAACGATTTGTCATCCGGGGCTTGTTGAAAAAATGATCTTGACAGCAGCTCTTCAAAATATTTAAGACCTAACCATTGCTTTGACTTGTTCGTAGTTGGTTGGTGCAAAAACCCTTCTGCAAATCCACAATAGAATCAACTCCTTTTTGTCAAACTCATAATCCTTGGGAGTTGGGAAACAAAGAGCAATATGCAAACAACAGCTTCAAAGTGGCAGAAAGATCATTGTAGCTCAGTCTAAGAGCAGGAACAATCTCATCTCTCTTTCCTAACTTCCATATCTCAATATCCAACAACTCCTTCCATTCTTCCTCATCTGTTTTTGTCCTCAATAACCTCCCAAGTGTTATTAAAGCTAAGGGCAAGCCATCACATTTTTTTCACAAACAATTCCCCATGTGGCCATAGTGTTGGATGTGCATCAAAGTTATCTACACCCAATACATGTTGAGCAAACAAAGACAAAGCATCGTCATGTGATAGACCTTGCAAAGGGTCTTGATGAGGAAAACCCAGCTTTCTTTGCAATTGCTCCTTCCGAGTTGTCATGATAATCATACTTCCAGGAGACCCCGCAAAAAATGGGCCCACTAATTTCTCCCAATCATGATAGCTTTCAGACCACACATCATCCAGAACTATTAGAAATAATTGATTCGAAAGTTTCTCTTTAAGAGCTTCTTGAAGCAGATTTAAGTCTTCAAACTCCTTCTTTTCCCCGGTTACAGATTGATAAATTACTTTGCTTATATTGAGGATATTAAATTCATCAGAAACACAAACCCAAGCCCTGAGTTTGAAGTGATCCTTCACCTCCTTTTCATCATACAACATTCTAGCTAGAGTTGTTTTGCCTACACCACCCATACCAACTATGGGCACTATGCTGAAGTTTTGAGTTTTGACAACTAAATTCATCCCTATCCACCAATAGCTTCGTAAGCAATTTATTTTTTTCATCTTCACTTCCAACAATACCACTAGGATCTATCAAAGATGCCTCATATCTTTCAATTTTTTGGCTTTTCATTTGCTATCACACTTAAACCAAGATTATTTTTTGCCTCTAACAGTTCTTGTAACTTGGTGGCAATATCTTCTAACTTGGCATGCATCCTAGTAATTAGTGTGAAACTTGTGCAACAACTTGGGATTAGCTTTCTTACCTTGCTGCTAGTGGATCCAGATTTCTCAGTCAACTCACGTTCGATAGCCTCGGTTGCCAAATCGTCAAGTAGGTCGTCAATGTCGTAAGCTAAATGTTGGAGATCATTCAGCCATCTTTTAACGGCTTCGTTAGTTGCTTCCTTCTGGGAGGCATCATTAAGCAGATCTTGGATGGTCTAATGTCTTCTTCAATTTCTTGAGCTCAGAATCAATTCCTTTGGAGCTAGCAATCTTCTTCAAGGCTTCAGAGGTCAGCTTTTCAAAGACCACTGTCAAGAATGCAGAAAGAACGATTTCAGCAATGGTTTATGGTAACAACAGAGAATATAGTAGAGGTGTCGATCAAATGGATGCAAAGAGGGAATGATTTCAATTATCAAGAGATGCAGCAGAAATGGATGAACAGTGAGATCAATTTCAGATTAAATTAATATCTATTTTTTTCTCAAATAAAATATACTCCCTCCGTCTCAAAATTATAGTCCATCTTTCCTTTTTAGTTTGTCCCAAAATAATAGTCCACTTCTAAAAATAAATAACATTTTTACCAAAATAGTCCCTCATTATTACTTAATCAACTAAGCATTTAATGGAACATTAAATGCAAAGTAAGGACAAAACTGTCATTTTATTATATAAAGTTAGTGGTAATTAATATTTTTCTTAATCTGTGTGTTTTTTGTCTGTGGACAATAATATTGGGACGGAGGGAGTATTAATTAAACGGTTTACACCGACGTAGGGTAGCGAATAAAACTTTGCAAGTGAAACTTATTTGTTGATGTAAAAGTTCCATGGACCCATAATTCACCTTCTATCCATGAAAAATGATGAGCAACTGAACCGACTACTCAGGCAACCCATGAGGACAAGAATCAGTTATTTCGGATCTTCGATGAGGTTAGAGTCGCCCAACACCATCCAACTCCGATGATTCTGACTCCGGCTGCCATCAATTCATGTTACATTTCGACAGAGATAAACATTGCGGAACAGATTCCTCCACCGTCTGGTCTCCTTCTCCATGATGTTTAATGTGAAGAGTCAAAGAATTGAAGCCAATGGCGATTCCGCGGCGGAATCGGAAATTTCTGAACTGTCCCATGATTCGTCATAGGTACACGTACTTGTGGTGGGGCTACATTTTTTAGGTTTTAGTTTAGTAAAAAAAAAATCATGCGAGGTCCACTGTCTATTTCTTTAAATAGGATTAATTACTTATTTTATTTATGCAATAATATTTTAAGTTATTATCCTCTACTAATGTTTTTTTTTTTGGTCACACTCTTATTTAATTTTTCAAATGTTATTTTGTGGTTATTTTCAATTAATTTTTATGCCATATAAAATTTTATGGTTTTTTTATTTTATTAATTCCACATAATATTTAAATTCAATAATAAATGCATATTATTTTCCTTAATGAACTTTCATTATTATTTTTTTTATAAATAACTCCAAATCCATATTTTTCTAATTACTAAATTAAAGCTTCATTAATTTCCTTTATTTATTTATCTAAATTATTTGTTTAAATTTAGAGAAAAACACTTTAATTTTTATAATTTAATAGTTTTCTAATTGTTCTTATAAATTCAAACTTCTCAAATGCGTAGAATTTTCTATTTAGGTTTATCTTTTAAATAAACACATGTAATACATGTCTCATACCTAGCACTCTCGAATAAATAAAGATTTTTTTGTTACTTGTCACATTCTCATTAAATTTGTCAAATGTCATTTTGTTTTTATTTTGAATTAATTTTTTTTTCCATATGTCATTTTATGAGTTTTTCTATTTTATTAAATTTTGCATAATATTTTAATATAATAATTGCAATAAATGTAGTAATAAACGGATATCAATTTCATTAATAAACTTACCTTTTAATTTCAAAATTCTCAAATTTAAAGTTTATTAGTTTCTTTTATTTATTTAAATTATTTGTTTAAATTTGAAAAATAAAAAACATTTCTATTTTAATAATCATTATTTTTCTTATTTTCTTATAAATTCAAAGTTCTCAAATATTTTGACATTTATATTTGTTTTTTAAATTAACTCATGTAATATATGGGTCTAATAACTAGTCTCTAATAAATGAAATTTTTTTTTCCACTTGTCACATTCTCATTCAATTTGTTAAATGTCATTTTGTGGTTATTTTGAATTATTTTTTTTTACACATGTTATTTTATAAGTTTTTCTATTTTATTAAATTCCACATAATATTTTGGTATAATAATTGCAATAAATATAGTAATAAATAGATATTAATTTTTATTAATGAACTTACATTTTAATTTCAAATTTCCAAAATTAAATCTCATTACGTTCTTTTTATTTATTTAAATTATTTGTTTAAATTTAAAAGATAAAAAACATTTTCATTATAATAATCCATTATTTTTCTTATTTTCTTATAAATTCAAAGTTTTTAAGTATTTTGACATTATATATATAATTATTTTTTTAAATTAACATATGTAATACATGGGTATCACAACTAGTTATTTCACTACTAGAAAACTACCCATTTACCTACAACATATTTCGTAGGTAATCTATAAATAAAACGGGTTACCTACGGATTGCCTACGGAAACAACTCTGTAGGAATATAGCTCGTGGGTAATTGGTTGCCACGCTTTGCCTATAGAATTTCCTACAGATTGCCTACTGAAATTTCCGTTGGTAATTTACCTACAGATTGCCTACAACAACATTACTTACAGATTACCTACAAAACCTATTTTACTACAGATTCCCTACAGCATTATTACCTACTGATTATCTACATAATTATTTCCTACGAATTGCCTACAGAATATTTTACTACATATTGCCTACGACATTTTACAATTTGGTGACAGATATCTGTCGATAGCCATCACTAAAATGATTTAATTTAAAAAAAGAAACTGAAATTTAATTGGAATAAAATCCATAATTTTTCAACCCAAAATACAGAAAACCCCAATACATGTGACCTAAAATTACATTCATATTCAACCGCAAAACAAATATTCATTATAAGAAAATGTATCAAATACATTAAAATAATCAAATACATTACAAATGATTAACAAAAACATAAAGCTAAAAACTATTTGGTAGATTACCAAGTTAATTGTTCAAATGTTTCAAAATGGTCGCCGCACCTTAATTTCATGTTGTCTTATTTGCAATCACACATCCATTTTAGCTTGTCTTTCTTGCAGTTGCAAATCAAATTGAGTGGTTCCATCAACATCATTTTGTGAGATGGTTCAACCTGAAGGATCCAAATTTCATCATATGTTGGAGTACCGTTGCCATGCATGAAAGTATAGCATTTCTTACTTCCTCACTTGATGGATATATTCCACCTAGCAAGGCCTAAGTCAATATGACATACATTTAGAAACATGTAACAAGTCAATGAAAATTGAATAAAGGGTAAAATAACCTACAAAGAAATATTATCTGTAAGTATTTGAAATATGTGATAATATTACTAAGGGTAGTGTAAATATCTACCATATAGTTGGAAGTTAAGAAAAGCAAATTTCAGCAACCATGTCCCATGCATCCCTGCAATGACACATGGTCCAACTATAATTACAATAGTTTAGATTCAAGAATTAAAACATCATAAGCAAGCTCCTATGTAAACACATTCAAGCAACAATGGATATAGGAATAAAAAATTACCCCAAACATCATTCAAGCAATTGAAACAATCAACCTAACAAAGGGAACACAATCAAAATCACACAT